CAATATTGCATAGAAGAGCAGTGGCATAGGAGGGAGCTGACCTTGAGTGTCCTTTGTCCTAGGCTGCTGCCTTAGGTCAGTCTTACTTTCACTGGATGATTCTTCCACACTTAACACTGTTTTCCATCTTTCCTGTTCTTATATAAACCTAGTATTTCATGGACCTGCCCCAACATTCAAAAAACAAGTCAGGCCTTAAAAAGATAATTTGGGGCTTAAAAATGAGATTTTTTTAAAAATGACACAAAATGTTGCTCTGCCTGAACCTTTACTTTGCACTCGTTACCTGTTTCCAAGCTTTTCTCTGCATCTACAAAGACAAGAAACATACTTTTCTTTCATGAAGCTCTAAGTGTGCTGTTATCACTTGACTCCAGTAGCTGTGGTGAAAGCAAACCACTCAAGGAACTCAAAAGGGTTGGCTACACCCAGCCAGAAAGGAATGACCAGGAGAGTAGTTCAGCTTTGTCAGCTCTGACAGACAGCAAAGCTTTGAGCTAAGTAGGACTTGCCCATATCTTTTCAGTTACCTTTAAAAAATAGCTACTTTACTGAGGAAAAGCAGCACAAATTACTAACAAAGATGTAACTATTTGGGGAGAAAGCTGAACTTGCTTCTAGCATTTCAGTTTTGACTTGCCAAGCCCTGGAGGAAACACTTAAATAATTGTGTGTGATTTCATAACAGTAGGAAATAGTTGAAATCCCAAATAAATGTAAGAATGGAACGTCCAACTCAGGTAGTCAGCTACAGAGCCACCGAAGTCTTGGTCGCTGGGAACTCAGGCTGGTAGGCAGCTAGCAGAAGGTTGTGCAAGGGTCCTGCATACAATAAACCAGGCAGTTCATCTCCATTCCTTGCAGGAATGTCTTTTTGTCATAAACATCACCTCTGGAATTGGCAGGCACAGTCAGAAACCAAGGACTTGCATGTACGCTGTGGAAATCAAGCTGCTCTTTGGAGAAGGGAGCAATAAACAGAGGGTTTCAAGGTTGTCATGTTGGCATTTTTTGTCACGTTGGCATTTTTTACCAGCCCCAGCTATATTGTGGGGAAGCATTTGGCACTAAACTAGGAATCAGGAGGCTTGGTCAGTGTTTGCTACTCTACCACTGCCCTGCTGTGTGACCTTGGCTTAGGCCCTTCACCTATGCATGCCTCAGTTTCCTCATCCGTGAAATAGGGGTATCTATAGCTGGTTCCAGTCTTTGTTATAAGGCTCAACCTCCTCCTCTGGCTTCATAGCGAGATGCCTCAGCCACTCACTCCTCCTTGCTCCCTCATACTGACTAAAGCCAGGCACTTTGTTTTATTTGCCCCAAAATGCCATTTTGAGGGGGCTGAAACTTTCATAAATTTGCATTGAAAAGTAAATCTGGCAAAGTCAAAACATTTTTTAATGAATCATTTTGATTTTTCATTGCAAAACATTTTCAGTTTGAAAACTGCCAGCAATTGATTTAAAAAAGGGTTTAAGAAAGATCCCAAACCAAATGTTTGAACTGAAACAAAATTTTCCCCAATTTCTCTGTTCAGGCAGTGAACCGAGCAGTCAGTTATTCTGTACCATTTCAGTGCCCATTTCCAATGCTCCTAAGGCACTTTAAAAAGTGGGTACAGTGTGCTGTGTGAGAACGAAGGATTATTGTGATTTACAGAGAGAAAAAATGCAGCTGGCTTTACAAAATTCCCTACCCTATCACAACGCCATTCCAGCTCCCATCCCCTCCTCTGAGAGTGAGTCTTTCCTTACTGCGATCTCTCTTTGCTCTCCCACCAAACCATGCTGCTAATCTTGCCTGATTCACTTGCTATTGCCATAATTTTGTGGAGATGGCATCTGTCTCTGTGCATGAATCAGACCAGCAGTGGGAGGCTTATTGCAATGGAGAAAACTTTTATTTACAAATAAATATCATGGTAAGCAGCATGTGGGAGGGAGGAATGGAAATCAAGGGGGAAGTAACACAATTGTGAACACAGAGTGGGTGAATGATGTTACCAGAACAGTCTCTGTTTTGGATTGATGTTTTCAGCCAACTTCTAGGGAACAGATGTTATGTTAGAAATAATGCAGCAGAGATGCTGTTTCTCACAGCAAAGCCAGGGAATTGTCTCCCACCTGTGCCTGCCATGTGCTTATCAAAGCAGCCCCCAGAATGTGACAGCAGAACTGTTAGTGCTGCGGAACCACGGCTTCTGGGTATCTCCAGTATCATCCCTAAGGGTCACATGGTACCTAACCTATCAAGGCTGCAGCAGGATTTCAGAACAGGAGGAAACAAGGAAGGGAAACACTCAGAAAAGGGGTGAAGGGCAAAAAAACCCAGTCTCTTATCATTGGAAATAGTATTGCTAAATTCAAGCACCCCCAAATTGCGAGACTGGCTTAAATAATTTTAAAATCAGACATAAATTTTAATTTGTCTTCTGCTTCCTGGGATTCCAGGGTCTCCACGCTTTTTGTCATAGCCGTAGTTTTCCAAATGCTGACATTCTCTTGCAATCGCTTCATTCCAGGAGCTGAGGCCAGTACAGTGAGACCCTAACGAAACTTTTGGGAGGTCAGGGAGCCATGGAAGGGACATTTGTCACTGCAGTACATGAGATGCCAGATTCACAGTGTGGGACAGGCCTCTTCGGGGCTCCTGTCTCCCAGATAAAGATATAACAAGACTGAATGGCTGGATGCTGAAGCTAGATGCAATCAGACTAGAGTAAGGCAAAGATTTTAAGGCTGAATGTAATGTACCTTCATAACTGTTTACCAAGGGCTGTAGGGGACTCTCCATCACTGGCAACTTTTTAATGAAGCCTGGATTATTTTTTCCTATAAGAGATCTGCAAACAGGGGAGTCAAATGCAGCCTATATTCTGCAGGACGGGCAAACTGGATGATGATGACAACAGTTTCTTGTAGCCTTCTGTTCTATACATCACGTCTCTGCCAGCTTGCCCCACCTCACAGGAATGTAGCTGCTTTCCGCCCTACCCCGAGCTTCCAGGTGGCTTTCCCAGCTGGGCCCAGCTGCAGCCCATTGCATTGGAGGTGACAAAGGCATGGATCACCAAGGTAGGACCTGCATGGGAGAAGAAGGGGCGTAGTCTCTCAGCCAGCTGGAAATGAAAGAATGCTCTTGTGGTTGATGATGCAATCTGGGAGCTTGGGATCTGCAATGAGACAGATATGCAAAGGGAAGGGCAGCGCCCCAGCTTCCTCCCGACTTCTGCCCCTCCAAAAAGCTACAGCCCAGATGGGTAAGCAAGTGTTCTCTGTGCTTATTGTTGTTTTCAAAACAGAACTTCATGTTGGAGGGCTCCAGCCTCCAGCTTTCTGGAAACCTGATCTGGACTTACAGGGCAGTGGATGTCTTGTATTCAACAGACTCCACATCCAAAGCTACCCTTCACAATAGATGCACCTCCTTGTTCCAGACCTTGCAATTCTCACTTTGACACATGGAGACACCTTAGCACGACACACTGAAAACTTAGCCTCATCCTTGTATTTGCATGAGTGGTGCCTAAAAACTCTCCCCAGGATCAAGGCAGCATTGTGGGAGCGGCTGCACACACAGAATTAGAGGTAGGCTCTGACCCAAAGACCGTAGGGTCTATACAGAGAAGACAGGCAGCGGATGGGGGAGAGGATGGATTATTATTAGATGTGGAGCTGATGCACTGTGCAATGAAGGGCCAAAGGCTTGCACAGGACTTTGCATCCTGATCCAGTGCTGCCACCATGTGATTCTGTTTGCTCACTGGACAGCTTAGGTCTTCATCCTTCCAAAATGAACTCTATCCAGGCAGTTGGAAGGGGACAGGGCTTAGGGGGAAGATCTCTCATCAGCTGATGCCCCATCTGTCCCAGAGGGTCTTTAAAGTCTTTGTGCCTGTTTCCCCTCTACCCCCGTCTTATGCCAATGTGTTGTGCAGTGGCTGCTTGCCCGGAGAGGCTGAGTTTCATTGGCTCCTGGTGCAAATGGCTGATAAGCAGGTTAGGACCATTTGGAGCCAGAGGCACTGCAGGAATCGGAGACGCTCTTAGGAGATCACTTACATCCAAACCGGTCATTTCTGAAACTATCATTCAATTGGCAATGAGCCCCCACCACAGCAAATGCATTACAACTATTTGGGGACCAGATTGCTCATGCCCGGATATGCCTGCTTGTGTTCTGTCCTTTGCAAGATATTTTGAGGAGGACGTATTGATTCTCCGACTCTGTGTTTCTGTACTAATAAGCCAATCAATAGGAGAGGGGAGCCCTCCATTTTTACAGAGCCTGTGTTGTCTGCACCCATCCAAGCAGGTCAGACCTGTTATAGAGCTGCAGGACTTGCCACTCACCAGGCCCAGGCTTTGGATACCTCAGCCCAGTGGGGGCTAACTTTTTTGGCAGGTGTACCCTCCCCCTCCCTGAATGCCACATGGATCCCTTCCCCTGACTGTTGCTCTGCTTTCTGCCCCCTGCCCAATCTGCTGCTCTGCTTCCCGCTCCCTCCCTGCCTGATTTGCTGCTGTGCTCTCAGTCCCTTGCCTGATACGTTGCTCTGGTCTCTGCTCCCCAGCCTGTGCCCCGTGCCTGGTGTGCTGCTCTACTTCCTGCTCCTTGCCCATGTTCCCCACCCCCATCTGCTGCTCTGCTTCCTGCTCCCTGTCCTGGGCCTGATCCGCTGATCCATTCTCTGCTCCCGGCTTGATGTGCCGACCTGCTTTCTGCCCAATCTGCCGCTCTGCTTCCCACTCCTAGCTCTGGGTTCCCTGCCCGATCTGCAGCTCTGCTCCCCATCCCATGCCCGATCTGCTGCCCTGGTCTCTGCTCCCCAACCTGTGCACACCCCTCTGCCTGATGTACTGCTCTGCTCCCTGCCTCGGGTCTGAGCTGCTGCTCCGCCCTCTGCTCCCCAACTTGTGCTCTTTGCTCGATGCCCGGGGAGCCGGCTCGGGCAGGTCCCGGCAGCGGTAAGGTGAATCCTCCCCCATTTCCGCCGGCAGAGGCAGCGCAGCCCGCTGGAGCCCAGCCCAGCCCAGCCCAGCCCAGTCGGTGCCGGCGCGGCGCAGCGAGCGGACGCCGGCAGCATGGTCAGCGCGGCCGGGGAGCTGGCGCTCATCGCGCTGGGTACGTGCCGCTGCCCCTCTTCCCCTCCGCCGGGCCGCGTACCCCCTGCTCCTGCTCGGGGAGACGGGCACTGCTTTGGCCCGAGCTGGGAGGGAGCTGCCCTGGTCCAGGGGAGCACAGGGACCCGGTCCTGCCCAGCCCCAGCCCCTTGTCCTCTCTGCTGCACTGGGCCAGTGGCAGAGCTGCTTGAGGCTGTGCCCTGCGAGCAGGTGAAGCCGGGAGGCAGGCGGGCTGTGACTTGCTCTGTGTGGCCCCCAGCCCTTGGGGACCAACCAGCCTCGGATGTCTGGGCTCCTGTGAGGTGCTGAAGCCCACATCCCTGGAAGCAGAGTGTGGCATCCCTGAAGAGCGCCAGCTGTGCTGGAAGAGCAGCCTCCCGTGCTTCCCAGGATCTCTTCATTCTTAGAAAACCTACTTTGACTGAGTGCTGAAATAACTCTGGCTCCGGCAGCTGGAGAAGCGCTGCCTCACTGAGGCTGTAGCATCCTCTCCTGCTCTGAACAGCTCTGCCAAGATCTCTGCGCTTCCACCACTGCTCGGGAAGTTGGGCTGTACAGACCCCAAGACGTGGTCTGCTCCTCCGTCCTCCTGCAGCCATTGCAGACCTGTGCAGCTGTCCCAGCGGGGATGTTAGCATGAAGGCAGCTCTCTGTGCCCTTCTCCATTGCCATATCTAGTTATGCCAGTGTTTTCTGTCTGTTGTCCCCAGGGCTGGCAAGCCCTGAACATATGGGCTTTGCCCTGAGCATTTGGCTGTGCATGCTTTGGCTTTGTGAGTTAGTTGAGAGTTAAAAGGGAGCTCCGTGTCCCACCTTGTCTCCGTTAAACTGTTCTAACAAGTGGTGGGCAGGGTGCTGATTTACAGAGGTATCAGGCAGAAGGAGCCAGGGCAGCTTGTTTCTGGACCCGAATGCCTGGGTAAGGGGGAGCAGTGAACTTGAAGTATGCTTGCTTAACATTTTTGGTGAGATTTTGCTTTCTACTGAAACATCCCGTGGTGACTCTGTGGGCTCACTGGGTCTGCCAAACCTCAGGAACCAAGAAAGGAGTTGATTTGTTTCTTTGCAGATGAGGATGGTTGGCATCTCCATTTAATACCAGCGTGGGCTGCAGGTGCCCAGCACTTTTGAGAGTGTATGGCTGTCTGTCTTCACAAAAATATTTCCTTAGCCTTTCCATGCTCATAGATGCTTTGTGTAAAGATAGAAGTTCCTAACTAGCTCCTAGGTAGAGTGTGGTAACCTTTCAGCTAGCAGAGCACTTAATTGCATTTTTAATGATGGGAGAGGAAAGAGTTGTGGTGGCTTTGCTGCTTTCTAGCAATGAAAACCTGACTGGTCTGAGTTTTCTAGCAAGGGACACTCTAGCTTTTATTCCCCTTTAAGGAGAGGGAACTCATCTGTTTGAAGCAGACGAATCTGAGCCCAGGGAAGTAGTGAGTAAGATGCTGAAACGTGTGTGCCCCTAAATTGTACATGCCCCAGAGCAGGGTAACTTCTATCTCGATTAAATAAATAGGCAAACAGTCACAGCAAAAAGACTGAGGGGCACTGGTAGAATTTGTCTGCTACCTACTTTTCTCCTCATTGCAAATCAGATACCCTCTGTCTGCTAAATTTAATTAAGGCTTAATTCTGTGGGGTCGGTCCTGAGCTCCCTCAGCTCTCGCTGGCTTCAATAGGAAATTTTCGAGTGTTTTGAGTATCTTGCAGAGCCAAGTCCTGTGTCAGCTAGGAAAAGATGCACTGTTTCCAAAGGTAACCTGACCTGTTTGTTTATCAGACTATTATATGCAAAGTATTTGAATTCTTTGTGGAACTTCAGCCAGGCAGAACGTAATTCTTTGCATTACAGTCTGGCTATGCTGCTGGCTCAAACCCTCCTGCTCTTGTGGAAAGTTACGTTGGTTACTTTTGAAACCATTGTAACATGAGTTTTCATGCCTTTGAAATCGCAAATGTCCGTGCATGCGTAACTGGTCTTGCGCGCAGGTCCGCCGCAATTTTTAGAGGAACTTATTGTTTCCTTACTGGAAGATGTTGATGTGTTGAAACAGGTCTGGTTTTGTGAACAGTTTTTTTGGTTTCTGACCCGCTTCCTGACACAGGTTACTTGAAAGGGGATTAGCAGAAGGGGGTATACAATTGATGAACTATCCTATTTCAGCCCAAACGTCCGAATTGTCTGGATGTTTAATGTCCGAGTTGTGCTGCAATTACAGGTTTTGATTGATCCCAATGAACATTTTTTCTCCAAGCTTGTTGGTTTTGGAAAGTTTTTTTGAGATGGATGTTTTTGACCTGTTTCTTGGTGGAGGGGGAAAAAAGAAACCCTATCAGAATCTCAGCTTCTTTCTGTTCATGTCGGCATTTAGAACTGCAGCCCCCAATCCCTAGAATTTAATTCTTTTCTATAAGCAAAGCAGCCTCCAAGATGCTATGGTCAGTTATTTGAACAGCATTACCCAGGACTGCTGGGTTGATTTGTATTGCTGCTTTGCATCTTATGTTGTGTTTCAGTCATTGTGTATACATATGTCAGTGTAATTCAAAACACACAAGGGCTTGTTTTTTCCTTTTAACTAAGGATCTGAGCTCTTCTGCACTAGTCTTGCCATATACAAAGAATGAGAGCGGGTGTACACACAATCATTTTCCCTCTCTCAAACTGAGTTGCTCTGCATATTGCCTCTCCTAACTTTGCCTGAGTCTGCTGTATTCCTTCCTTGCATGTTCTTTGTGACACCCTGTCATGTAATACTTATGGCAGGGAACAACTTGTTCTCTCAATAGTTATGCTATTTAATAATAAAGTGAGCGACTAAAATTATGTCATTCACACACTGCCTGCACATCTGTAACTGGTTTCATTCCTAAGTGTGCTGGTTATGACTGCAAACCCCAAAGCTGAATTACTGAACAATATGTCTTCAATTGTGCAGGGCCTTGCTTTATGTTAATCTGTTAATCAATAGCTCCTTGCCTTTCAGTCCAGCCGACACTTGGCTTCCATCCGTTTGTAGGTTACTTGCTTCTTGTTCCAGGGAATAGTTTTTCATGAAGTGTTTAAGAAAAAAGACCCTGGAGTACAGAACAGCCACTGGGTGGCTTAATCAGCCAGAGTATGTTGTTTGATTATAATTAAAAGAGCAGGATGCTAATATTGTCCTTTACAGGGGAAATGAGTGAGGCTGTAATGTACTGAAATTGCACTGTTTGGAGACAGTAGCTCCATCTTGAGATCTGGTCTAGATCCTGTTTGGAGTGAGTTGAAAGACTTCTGCTGAACTAGGGTGTGAATCAGACTCAAAGGGTGCAATTCGCTCCTGAGCAGAATGTGGACGCAAGGTCAGTTAGCACCGAGGTTCAGAGAGACAGACTGATGAAATGCAAAGCCATGTTGCAACATTGCACTCTTGTTTAAAAAAATAACAGAGTATTGATCATGGTTTAATAGCAAAGGGTCAGTGAAACATAG